ATTTTTTTTTTTTTGGCTCTCTCTCTCTCTCTCTCTCTCTCTAGCTTTATGCATAATTAATTTTTGCTTCGAGGCTTCACGGGTGTTGATTCTCTCCTCTCTTTTTTTACTTGGCAATCTGTCCCTCAACAAACTTTCACAACTGAGCCTTGACTTGTGTGTCTATATATATTTCTTCTACTATTTCTTCTTTGTCCTAAGCTGCCTGTGTATACAACAATCATGCCTGCTCTTTCTTCTTCTTCTTCTTCTTCTTCTATTTGCACTTTCTTGCTTGTTTTCTTGCTTGTTGTAAGAGCCTCAAATTGTGCAGCCAAAGTCACCAAGAGCTCTCGCCCTCCACGCCAATTATCTGTTAATTACTATGCTAAAAAGTGCCCTCAGCTTGAGCAACTTGTTGGTTCAGTCACTTCCCAACAGTTCAAAGAAGCACCAGTGTCAGGGCCAGCCACCATTCGCCTCTTCTTTCATGACTGCTTTGTAGAAGTAATCTCGATTCCACATTCTCCATTATCCTTGCCATGCATGCTCTGTGCTTTAGCTTATTATCATGCTACATTTTTTGTAGCATAAATTAATTGATAACTTACCATCTTACTTAAATTTGATGCGTGGTTATATTGAAGGGCTGTGATGCATCAATATTGATATCAACAAACCCTAGAAGTAAACAGTTGGCAGAGAAGGATGCAGAGGACAATAAAGACTTGAGGGTGGAGGGATTTCAGACTATAAGCAAGGCCAAAGACTTGGTGGAGAGAAAGTGCCCTGGTATTGTTTCATGTGCAGACATTCTTGCAATTGCAGCCAGAGATTATGTCCACCTTGTATGTGCCTCATTTTCCTCCTCCTTCAATATCATACCCATCATTTCTGTTTTATGCTCTTGAATATATTTCTCCACACCAAATGTATCTCCATGTTGAAGCTTGAGTTTCCTTGTTCTATGCTCAAATTGCAAGCTGCTATGATTTTATTACACAGTCTGCTTAGAAAAAAAAACAGCCTAATTTCCCTCTTTTGTTTTGGTGTGAACATATTTGCTACGTAATGCTTCCTCTATAGAAAGGTGGAGAAAAATGTAGTCTGGTCATTTTTTAGGACAAAAACATGTAAACTTAGCATAAAAGGACACAAAAGGAGAACATTCATACTTCTATTTTCTCTTTCTGTCACTTGAATCACAGGTCTGCTTTGAACAGCTAAAGCCACTATGCCTGTAATTTGTCCTAACCATAACAACATTGAAACTTCCAGTCTTCTGGGCTGGTTAGATCAGGTCACCATGGGAGACAAGGTTAATGATTAGTATTGGCATGTAAAATAATAGGGACAATCGAATCTCATGAATTTATTAATTGATTTGAAAAATACCGGACACCTCTTTCATGATGTCAATACAAGAGGACAAGAATCCATGTCGTGTTTCCAGCTTGTTCTGATTTCACATCAGGATAAAAGAACTTCTAATTTTTATAATTACAGGATGAGATTCTTTCAATTACTAACTATTAAAACAACATTGTAATCATCAAATAATGATATTTTTTGTCCAATAGCATCATTATATTATCCAAGGGTTCATGCTCTGGTTTCATCTGTTATGTTTATGTGGCTCAGGCAGGAGGTCCTTATTACCAGGTGAAGAAAGGGAGGTGGGATGGGAAAATATCAATGGCATCCAGGGTGCCGTACAACATCCCTCGTGCAAATTTCACCATTGATCAACTACTAAAACTCTTCAACTCTAAAGGACTAACACTTGAGGACCTAGTCGTTCTTTCTGGCGCTCACACATTTGGATTTGCTCACTGTAAGCAATTTCTTAGCCGACTCTACAATTACCGTGGCACTAAACAGCCTGACCCTGGCATGGATCCAAGGCTACTAAAAGCTCTTAAAATGTCCTGCCCACAATTCGGTGGGAATTCAGACATTATAGCACCCTTTGATGTTACCACTCCGTTCTTGTTTGATCATGCTTATTATGGGAATTTAGAGGCTAAATTGGGGTTGTTGGCCTCGGACCAAGCTCTATTTTTGGACCCAAGAACCAAGCCCTTGGTTCAACAATTAGGAAAGGATAAGAAAAGGTTCTTCCAAGCATTTTCAATAGCTATGGAGAAAATGGGCTCAATTGGTGTGAAAAGGGGAAGAAGACATGGAGAGATGAGGAGAGTTTGCAGTATGCATGCATAATTGGATTATTATTTTTTTGAAATTTCCTTATTTTCTCCTTGTGGTAGATGTTTTGGGCTTTAATATTATGGGGTTTGAAATTTGTAGTGAATGTCTGGAGATTTTGAGATAAATCATTCACGGAATAACATTCTTCATATATATAATTTATCTTCAAACTTTTATTTTCAATGGAGTACCGAAACAAATATAGGGGTCAATCTTCGTAATGTGTTTGCTTTGGATATTCATTCACCCAAAGAACAACAGAGCACCCAAGATGGTCTACGAATTGCTCGATTCAAAGAACGAATATCCTTCCAAGCCGAGGAAACCTTTTGCTATATAGAAATTTATTTCCTTCAGAGAGTCCCTTTGCTAATTCATGGTCAAATAAATAAGGATAAGATTATTATAAATCTCCTTAAGGTCAGCCTCAGCTGTTGGTACGAAGGCAAGATGGTTCTGTTTGGATGTTGGCAAGGCTGACCAGTGTTGATCGGTTATGGTGGTGGTCAAATGGGTGGATGTACAATTTAGAAGAGAAAGGTACTGATGACTAGAGAAGTGGTTGTGCTTGGAGGCGATGAAGGGGCTGATCGGTGATGATGATTTGGGAGAGGGAGACGGTTCTTTCCCTTTTTCAATTCACTCTTTTTCTCCACTCTTTTAAAAAAGAAAAACAACACAAACTTCAACTAAATTATCGAATTGTTTACTTACGTTTAATTAAAAGATTAAAAAACCTAACAGAAAAATTGAAGCGATGAAAATTTTCAATTATAATTCACTTCTAATTATCCCTCTAACATACAAAATTTGACTCGTTAAAACCTCATAAAATATCTCCTTTTCCATCCTTTGCGAAGGCCACAAACTCTTAAAATCAGAGCCATGAGAGCCGCAGTCCAGCGAGACACCACTGCAAGTGTCGAGGTTACTTCTCAACTCTCCCTCTCTCTTTCTTAGCCTTCACACCTATGCATGCAGCTTTTTAATTACATTTACAGGTCGGTAACTGCAGGGTTATCGGAGATTGGACCAGGCCTTCTTGCTGGCCTTCACGAGTCCGATGCCGACTCTGCTGCTGATAACATTTAATTTTAAACAACCCCTCTTTTTTGGTTTTTTCTGTGTTTATGGTGTGATTGACTCTTAGTTTTTGAGTTCAACAAATAAATAAATGCGCAGATGCCGTAAGGTAGTGAACATGAGGTGGTTTACAAATGAGAGTACTGGCAGAGGTTGGGACCAGAACGTAAATAATTCATCTCTTTCTCTCTATGTTGTGTAAGAAGAGCTCTTATTCTGTAAAATGTTTGAGTGGTTAGTTAATCAAGTACAGGGGTGGGTTTTCTTAATTTGTGTTTGTGTTTATATGTGCTGGTTATGCAGAGAAATTATGCAGTTTTATTTGGCATTCATTTTACTGAACAATGAGAGAGAAAATAGGAAAAAGAAAATCTAATATATGATAACATCCCGTTAATTATTGTGTTAGAAATGCAAGTGGTAGAGTGTGTGTGTGTGTGTGTGTGTGTGTGTGTGTGTGGTTATAATGCCATTTGTCTGTGACAGTGAGACAGTTTACGTTGTGAGGAGTGATGAAGGGAAACAAACCAGGTTTTCAGGTAGCAATGCCGCCCCAGAAAACAAAACCATTGTGTGTGCGTGTGCGTTGATGGGGGGTGGATCGGCATCAGGGTTTAGAGTGTGCAACACAAGTAAATAGATATTTTGTATGCAAAGAGTGGACAGAAGTCCCCTCGTAATCATGAAATACATGCAGTTTGAAATTTATTGCATGAACAATAGATGTGTTTTGCTAGAACTAGTTCACTCTTTTCCATGTTCTTGATACTGAAATTGCTTCAGAATTCATTGTGTTATCCATTATCTTCCTGAATTCCCCTTTGTTTTTGTTTAGATGGAGTATTCGGAGCAGTGATGACTACTTTCTATCCTTGTCCTACCCTTTTTGTGCAGCTTCTTTTTACTTTGAGGCCCATTCCATTACTTTGATGCTTCGGACGGTTTCAAGGTTATTGTCATGATTAATGCCTATCTTCTGGGGCAGAGTTCAGTGACTAAAATCTGTAGAAAAACCATATCAACATATGAAATTGTTGAGAATCTGCAGAGCTGGACTGTTACCCAGCAAGCCAGCTCTCCTCAAGCCCCTCAGCTGTCCCCTAGTACAAGGTTCGAAATGATAGATGTAATGTGATCATGCAATTGGAGAGGGGAAATTATTGAGTAGGTGTTACTAAATACTGGTTAAGTATTTTGTATTGTGTTTTAAAAAATTATTTTTAAAAAATTTATAAACTTTTATTTTTTTGTTTTAATTTAATATATTTCTATGTTTTTATATTATTTTAATGTGTCAATATTAAAACTAATTTTTAAAAAATATAAAAAATATTATTTTAATATACTTTTAAAAATAATAATTTTAAAAATAACCACTCCACATTTCCACACAATAATCTCTTCATTATTTAGGTGTATAATTATATGCCAGCGCAAACCACTCTACTTTCCAGGTGTAGTGAATCACATAATTGATTATTACGGCTTGTTTGGTGTGGTAGCCCCCGCTATTGCGGCAACAACACACCCCTCCTTTCCTAAAAACATTCATTGCTTTCTAAAGAAATTCATCCAAAATTATCTCTACCAGTGGGGTCCTGAATCAAACCCAGCTGTGTGTTCACTTTACTCGGTCAGAAATTAAAGAGAAAATAATGACAAGTACCTCACACCATCATCAGCTCTGGTTGCAAACGCTGAAGCAGTATTGCCATTGTGAGATAGTTTTGCTGCAGAATTATCAGGAGGTTCTAAATTCTCACTGATTCCCGCAGAAACTTCAAATAATCCACACATGCCGCCCAAGCAATCTTTCATCAAGCCTCTGTAGTTTTGCTTTTCTTGAAATCTGCGACATAAACAAGATACAAGATGTTCACATCATGAAACGTCTCCAGCAAGGAGAGAATTTTAATTTAAGAACAAGGAAGGATATTGAAAGTTTTTGGAAGGCCGAAAGTATACCGAATCAATTAAGGCCATACACCATCATAAACAACGAAGTACAAAACTCAATAAGAACAATAGCCATAAGGAGCAAGAACTCCCTTAGACGGGTCCAGTTCATGGTTTCTGCAGTAGGATAATAAACTGTTTAAATCTCCCAGGTGCTGAAAAGCATATGAACAAGGGATGTGTCAATACCTCCATGCACCCTGTTACATTCTCATTTAGAAGAGAAGCAAGTGAGTACGTTATCTAACTCATTTAGAAGACGGAAACTTTGAGTAATCAATTCCAAGGATTTCCCGGCCCTCGGAATTTGAAACACCGCCTCGCACAGTTTGGTTCACAGAACACAAATTCCATAACAGTAACGATAATTGCAATTCCTAAATCTCTAAAATGAAGGAAACAAAGAAAGGAAATTCCTTTGTTGTAGGAGTTTCGTTACAATACAAGAGCTGCAAGCTGCTTCGAGAAATCCAATCCCTAGCGTTTCAATTTAAACAAAAACAAAACACAAATTATTAATAAAATTAGATGAGGAGATTAACAAGTGGCGGAATAAATGGCTTACTATCATCGTTGGCGTCTGGTGTGTGTTTGGAATCGGAGGCGGAGTCTAGGATTGCTATAAGGTTCTCTTCCTTTCATGCGAAAATGTGAAAAAATATACTTCCGTTGCCGGGACTTGAACCCGGGTCGCTCGGGTGAGAGCCGAGTATCCTAACCAACTAGACTACAACGGATTCTTGTTGCGATTCTATTTGAAAAACTATAATTTCATTAAACTATTTTATATAAACTTCAATTTTTAAAGTGCTTTTTATTTTAAAATATATTTACATGATTTTTTTATTTTTTAAAATATTTTTAATATCAGAAAAAAACAAAAAAATATTTATATATAATCAACATTAAAGAATTTTTAGTTATGCAAACAGAGATATTATCTTTTCAATATATATATATAATCACTAGTCGAAGGAACACATATTACTCATTTGCAGACCTTAATACATGATAAATGAAACCCAAATTAATCAAAATTAATGCACAAATAAAATGCCTTTATTATATATTAGAAAGACAAGTAGTATATCTATTAAATAAAAAACAACTCCTAATTTTCAATAATAACTCATAGAAATTAAAAACACTTGTCATTATTAAGTTATTAGATAATTAATGTCAATAATTAATTCTACCACCTTTCCATGGAACTTGGAAAATATCATGGCTATAAAAACGATCATAGCTTTAGAATAGGGTTGGCAATCTCGCTTTTCTTCTTTTTTGCTTGTCCTATGACATTCTCATCTTTACATCCACTGTCTTTTCATATTCATATTCTTCTATCCACCAAATTAGTCACGAGCTTCTTATTCAACTACCATTACTTATTTCTCATGATTTACTGTAGACTTTCACTTTTTTCCCCCAAAACTTTTTGTTTTTTTTAATTTCGCTTTGGAATTGTCAAATTAGAGGACAATTTTTTTTTTTAAAAAAAAAGGTAAGATTAAAAAGCATAACATCAAAGTGAGAAAAATAGAGGGAATGAGTGAATTTAACAAAGTTTTAGGTGAAATGTTTAATGTAGTTTCCAAACTTTTTCACTTATAAATGTTTGGTCCCTTTAATTTTTAAAATTTAAGAGCAAAGTAAATTTTGATCCCAAACTCTATATTCCTTATTTTTTGTTCTGTAATTTGTGAGGGGAGAAAGAAAGACATTGAATTTCAATAATAATAATAGAAAATCACCGTTTACATCGATTATACTCATAGAAAGAGATGATTTTAGTGTTAATAAATTCCTCTAAATAGAAAGAGTTTTTTTCCTTTGAACTTGCTTCATATGATAGATCTGAGCCTGAAAATAATTTTAGCATGGGGTTGATTATGGGTCTTAAGGTTATTTTTTAGGTTGTTCGAGGCCATAAATATATTTTACAAGGTTTTTAGGGGTTATTTTTGTTTTTTGGGTAGATGAAAATGAGTTTTTCTTTGTCTAAAATATCACAATTTAACTTTTTGATGACTAGAAGTCGTCGGAATTTAGACAGGATAGGCGATGCATCACTTGCTATTTATTTTTTCCAAAAAAATCATTGGGTTAACAACATATAGAAAAATAATAAAAAATAATAATAAAGCCCATGCCTTTTACTTTAAAATTATTTAACCCAATCAAGTTTATGATCTTAATCACAAGTATGGTTAGTTAGTTTCATTTGGCTACAAATCAGACTTTATAATTTTTTTGTTGTGCAGATAGTTGTCAATTTATTTAATTAAATGCATAAATGAACTTTATGATCAGTGTTTGAGATTTTTTTTCATGTTAAAAAACATATAGAAAATGCTATCATAATAAAAAAAAAATATTTAATATGTGATGAAGTGCGGGTCAAATATCTAGTTCTTATTAAACATCGTCTCATCTTGATACATTTCCCTATATGATCCAATCGCCTAGAGCTCATAATCACAAAAGAATTAATTTAAAATATAAAATAATAATTTTTTAAAGTAGCATAATAGAAATAAATTTTTGTGAAATAGCACGGTTTAATTTATGAAATAACACAATTTATAGAGCGTACGCGACTTCTTCCTTTTTTTTAAATGTGATATTTATTTAAAATATTTTAAATTTGAATTTAAAAAATGATATTTAAAAAAAATTAATATAAGTCTAATGCAAACGCTGAAGCAGTATTGCCATTGTGAGATAGTTTTGCTGCAGAATTATCAGGAGGTTCTAAATTCTCACTGATTCCCGCAGAAACTTCAAATAATCCACACATGCCGCCCAAGCAATCTTTCATCAAGCCTCTGTAGTTTGCTCTTCTTGAACTCTGCGACATAAACAAGATACAAGATATTCACATCATGAAACGTCTCCAGCAAGGAGAGATTTTTAATTTAAGAACAAGGAAGGATATTGAAAGTCTTTGGAAGGCCGAAAGTATACGAAATCAATTAAGGACATACACCATCATAAACAACGAAGCACAAACTCAATAAGAACAATAACCATAAGGAGCAAGAACTCCCTTAGACGGGTCCAGTTCATGGTTTCCGCAGTAGGATAATAAACTGTTTAAATCTCCCAGGTGCTGAAAAGCATATGAACAAGGGATGTGTCAATACCTCCATGCACCCTGTTACGTCGTACAAAATCTCCTTCAAGAGCATTGACAAGATATTGGAACAGCACCATGTTCCTCAGTAAAAGCACGTAAGAACAACGCTCATTGGGTGTCCAAAGTGAATGTTCCAAGCTTGATATAATTTAAACTGACAGTTTCAAACGAGTTTGCTGTTAGGACCTACAAGACATTGCACGGTTTGTCTAGCATTTTATTCACTTGAAAAGTAGAAAGAACAAGCAAACTAACCCCCATTTCTAATGCTTGAAGGTTTCCCTCATTAGCCATTTGAGCAAACCCCGTGAATAGCAGAGCCAATCAAATAAAATAAAATTCCAGCACACAAGTAATCCAGCGTTGCAATCATTCTCCATGCCACAAGAATAAGTACTTGTTCATGAAAAAAAAAAAAAAACGATTCAACCACTGCAATTATAAGTTTATCCAACTCACCAGTGAGTTAAGCGGTCTGATGATACTAGTACCGCCAGCTCCGCTCTCGCGAGACGAGGCCCAATATTCAGCCAAAAAGAATTTTATATCTAACACCATCATCATCAACATATAGATAGAACTTAAAAAACCTTGATCAAATACACACCAGGATAGAAGCAGAAGAACTTAATACCTCCGCTGGCCGAGATGCTTCTTTATCCGACAAATACACGCCAGGATAACGCTAAACGCAAGCAAAAACAAATTAAATTCTCTAAGCATCATCTAAAACTGCAAGTTCAGATTAAAAGAGAAGCAATTGAGTACGTTATCTAACTCATTTAGAAGACGGAAACTTTGAGTAATCAATTCCAAGGATTTCCCGGCCCTCGGAATTTGAAACACCGCCTCGCACAGTTTGGTTCACAGAACACAAATTCCATAACAGTAACGATAATTGCAATTCCTAAATCTCTAAAATGAAGGAAACAAAAGAAAGGAAATTCCTTTGTTGTAAGAGTTTCGTTACAATACAAGAGCTGCAAGCTGCTTCGAGAAATCCAATCCCTAGCGTTTCAATTTAAACAAAAACAAAACACAAATTATTAATAAAATTAGATGAGGAGATTAACAAGTGGCGGAATAAATGGCTTACTATCATCGTTGGCGTCTGGTGTGTGTTTGGAATCGGAGGCGGAGTCTAGGATTGCTATAAGGTTCTCTTCCTTTCATGCGAAAATGTGAAAAAATATACTTCCGTTGCCGGGACTTGAACCCGGGTCGCTCGGGTGAGAGCCGAGTATCCTAACCAACTAGACTACAACGGATTCTTGTTGCGACTCTATTTGAAAAACTATAATTTCATTAAACTATTTTATATAAACTTCAATTTTTAAAGTGCTTTTTATTTTAAAATATATTTACATGATTTTTTTATTTTTTAAAATATTTTTAATATCAGAAAAAAACAAAAAAATATTTATATATAATCAACATTAAAGGATTTTTAGTTATGCAAACAGAGATATTATCTTTTCAATATATATATATAATCACTAGTCGAAGGAACACATATTACTCATTTGCAGACCTTAATACATGATAAATGAAACCCAAATTAATCAAAATTAATGCACAAATAAAATGCCTTTATTATATATTAGAAAGACAAGTAGTATATCTATTAAATAAAAAACAACTCCTAATTTTCAATAATAACTCATAGAAATTAAAAACACTTATCATTATTAAGTTATTAGATAATTAATGTCAATAATTAATTCTACCACCTTTCCATGGAACTTGGAAAATATCATGGCTATAAAAACGATCATAGCTTTAGAATAGGGTTGGCAATCTCGCTTTTCTTCTTTTTTGCTTGTCCTCTGACATTCTCATCTTTACATCCACTGTCTTTTCATATTCATATTCTTCTCCCCACCAAATTAGTCACGAGCTTCTTATTCAACTACCTTTACTTATTTCTCATAATTTACTGTAGACTTTCACTTTTTTGCCCCAAAACTTTTTGTTTTTTTTTAATTTCGCTTTGGAATTGTCAAATTAGAGGACAATTTAATTTTTATTTTTTTTGAAAAGGGTAAGATTAAAAAGCATAACACCAAAGTGGGAAAAATAGAGGGAATGAGTGAATTTAACAAAGTTTAGGTGAAATGTTTAGTGTAGTCTCCAAACTTTTTCAATTATAATGTTTGGTCCCTTTAATTTTTAAAATTTAAGAACAAAGTAAATTTTGATCCCAAACTTTATATTCCTTATTTTTTGGTCTGTAATTTGTGAGGGGAGAAAGAAAGACATTGAATTTCAATAATAATAACAGGAAATCACCATTTACATCGATTATACTCATAGAAAGAGATGATTTTAGTGTCAATAAACTCCTCTAAATAGAAAGAGTTTTTTTTCTTTTGAACTTGCTTGATATGATAGATCCGAGTCTGAAAATAATTTTAGTAGGGGATTGATTATGGGTCTTAAGGTTATTTTTTAGGTTTTTCGAAGCCATAAATATGTTTTACAGGGTTTTTAGGGGTTATTTTTGTTTTTTGGGTAGATAAAAATAAGTTTTTCTTTGTCTAAAATATCACAATTTAACTTTTTGATGACTAGAAGTCATCGAAATTTAGACAGGATCACTTGCTATTTATTTTTTCCAAAAAAATCATTGGGTTAACAACACATAGAAAAATAATAAAAAATAATAATAAGGCCCGTGCCTTTTACTTTAAAATTATTTAGCCCAATCAAGTTTATGATATTAATTACAAGTATGGTTGGTTAGTTTCATTTGGCTACAAATCAAATTTTATAATTTTTTTTTGTTGTGTAGATAGTTGTCAATTTATTTAATTAAATGTATAAATGAACTTTATGATCAGTGTTTGAGATTTTTTTTTCATATTAAAAAACATGTAGAAAATGCTATCATAATGAAAAAAAATTATTTAATATGTGATGAAGTGCGGGCTAAATATCTAGTTCTTATTAAACATCATCTCATCTTGACACATTTCCCCATATGATCCAATTGCCTAAAGCTCATAATCATAAAAGAATTAATTTAAAATATAAAAGAATAATTTTTTAAAGTAGCATAATAGAAATAAATTTTTTGTAAAATAGCACGGTTTAATTTACGAAATAACACAATTTATAGAGCATACGTGACTTCTTTCTTTTTTTAAATGTGATAGAGTCAGTTTTAATATATTTATTTAAAATATTTTAAATTTGAATTTAAAAAATGATATTTAAAAAAATTTAATATCAGTCTATATTATTTAAATTTAAAAGCTATTTTAAATTTTAAAATTAAAAAATCATCTACTCAATCAATAGTATTTATCTTTATCACAACTACAATAAAAACAAAGACAATATTTGTTTATTTTTTTTAAAAAATATTTTTAAAATAAATAAACATTAGTCTCAATCTCAAGTTGTGATGAAAATAATATTTATTTAAATTTAAAAGCTATTTTCAATTTCAATTTTGAAAAGAATGATATCTACTTGATCAATAGCATTGATTTGTTTGTGTATCCAGCCATTAAAAAATAATTGTGGGTGTACGGGAAGATTTATGAAGCATCCTTTCAAAAAGTTATAACATAGATGAGGGAACATGCATGCAGAATCACTTTAAGCTGTTAACGACACAAATATAAATGGTCTCAACTCCATCCCGCAGCTCATTTAATTCAGCTGCGTCATCTGCCGACCTGAATATATTATACAGTAATAATAATAATAAAATTATGTAATTAATTAACCATGCATATAAAAATGTAAAGAAATTTCAGAAACAACAGAAGAGGGAAAAGAAAGAAATTGGTGAGAAATTTTACTAACAGTTACTATTTTCTTCTTTAAAAAAAAAATAATCCAAGTATAAGTACCATGAGCCTTTGTTTTTCTTGAAATTAGTTTTTTGAAAATTATTTTTAAAATTTTCTTATATTTAATTGACATTAGAAATATTGATTAATAGAAAAAACTTTCTAATTAAAGAAAAAACTAACTTGATTTTTAAGAAAATATTTTTTTTTATTTTGAGCTGGAAATATTTTTTTGAAGTTGTGAAAAATTTAAAAATATTATATTATTTTTTGATTATATCAAATTTGATCTTTAAATTTTTGATTGATATATATTTTGTTTGAATTTTTTTTTTTGAATTTCATCCCTTAAAATTTGATTTAATTTTTATATTAACTTTGATCTTTATTTTTATAATTGTTATTTTTTTCTCTTTTATTAATTTTTTAATTGAAATTTTTTATCTATCAAATTTGATCTTTATTCTTTTGATTGTTACTTATTTTATTTGAAATAATTTATAAAATTATAATTATTTTAATTTTAATTTCATCATCTTTTAATTTTTTTATTTGTTAAATTTGATTTCTATTATTTTGATTATTATTTATTTTATTTGAGATAATTTATGAAGTTAAATTTGTTTTCAATTTCATTCTCATTCAACTTTTGAATTTGTAAGATTTGTTTCTTATTATTTTAATAAACTTGAAAAAAATAAAATATTAATAAGTTATTTTTCAACTTATTTTTCATAACATAACTAAATACTGAAAAATATTTTTCAACTTATTTTCAATGACACCACCAAATATAAAAAAATAATTTATTTTTTAGGAATTCACTTTTCAAGAAAACTACTTTCTAAAAAAAAAAAACTATTTCCCAACAAATAAATTATGCTAGCTGAAACCAATTCAGATAGTGTTTTGCATTGCGTCTTGGAAATGTTTTTTGAAAAAAATTAAATTTTTTTATTTTTTGTTTTATTTCAAATTAATATATTTTTTAATATTTTTAGATCATTTTGATGTGTTAATATTAAAAATAATTTTTAAAAAGTAAAAAAATATTATTTTGATGTGTTTTAGAATGAAAAACAATTTGAAAAATAACTGCTATAATATTTTCAAAATCTAGTTGGGATTTTAGTGATTTATTGAGCTAACCAAACTAGATTAATAATAATGAAATAAAAAATACTCAGAATAAAAATAAAAAACATTCACAGCTATACTTTCAAAATGAAAATATTTTTTTTTTCTGAATTTACCCCAGGTCAATATTCACAGCTACACTTTCAAAATATTCCAGGGTGGTTGGGACAGAGGCGTAGCTAGTTTTTTTATATGTGATCCACACAAATATATATATATATATATATATATATATATACTTCAAAAAAAATTATAACTTTTGAAAAAACCAACCACAATTCTAGAAATTGAGATCAAGCCTGGAATTAGCTGGGCGCTGGAGGTGGTGCTGGACTTCCGGGTCAATAAATGTGGTAGATCTTTGAGAAATAAAAAAATAAATAAAAGGATAGCTTTAATGCACCGAAAATCACTGACAGCTTAGTAAATCACCAACGACATAGATCTGTTTCCATGCCTACCCTTTACCGATAGAATTTCAGCTCTCGTGATTGGATTTCTTTGTCTTCTTCTACTTTTTTTTCGTGACAGAATCGTTTTAGCTTTATACTATATAGGTGTCACATGTTACACTACGAGTATGGTTAATTTTTTTCCTAAATTTAAAAGACATGTTGATGATAACTATATTTAATCTTTAGTTCAAAACAATGAAATGGAAAGAAAATAAAAGAAATTGAAAAACAAAAAATATCAACGAAGAAAAACTTGTGTTGACTTAAATAATCCCTTATGTGTGATATTAAATTAAAACAAGAAATGTTTTAAAAAAAAACATAAAAAAATAAAATTAAATCAATAAAAAACACTAAAAAAAATTGATTTAAGGTTGGTTAATTTAACCAACTCGCATTTAAATAATCCTATAAAAAATAAAAAAATCACAAAGTTTAAGGATTAATAAGTTAATATTAAGAAATAAAATAAAAAAATTCATTAAAAAAATACTATTTTTTTTTAATCAAATTATATTAACTCAAATAACGTATTACTTGAAATATAAAATTAAAATAACTAAAAAAAACATAACAGAACAAATCATGTAGTGTAAGGTCAATAATCACTGTCAAATTATAAAATTTTAAAAAATAATTTATAAAAAATATAAAATTTAAATTAGTAACCTAAATCATAAAAATAACATTATTCTATAGAAAACAAACAAACAAAAAAAACAATGTAAATTTCTTAATAATAAAAAAATAAAAAATAATATAGGTAACCATCAAATTAATATGAATAAAATTTAAGAACAAAATATAAAACAAAATAAATTCAACACACGTGTTGCCCCACAGGCTTCTCTGCAATTGGACACATTGAACGCCATGAA